GTGATAGAGACTACCTATTTTACAAGGGTTTGTATTTTTGTTTTATCTCCTCTGCCAACAGGACATTATCTACAGTGTTTGTTCTCTGTTGACACCCAAAGATATGCAGATTGCTGAGACCTTTGGATTTCTCAAGGTCAAATCAAACTGAAGGGAATCATTCCTCATCCAGCTTAACTGAGCCAAGTTGCTTGCTTTGGCACTGCTGCCGCATCCTAAAAAAGCAGATTTTTCTTGCTTGTGGGCAGGTGGTTAGAATACCATATAGAGCTCATTTTTGACTGTCAAGATTGAAATTATTTCTCAGCCAAGGATAGCTATAAGTACATCTGTTAGCTATTAAATTGTGGAGAAAAAAAAAACAACTTTGCAAAGGTTCAAAATGTACCTCATATGTAAGAAAAAAGTAAATCAGAATTTCAGACCAACTCCTGTAAAAATGTCTAAAAAGATAAATGCAATTCCATTATGCTCTGAACAAGAAAACTGCAGCTCTGGTAGACCCTGTTCTTAAGCCAATGAGACTTCAAGTACAGTTTGAGCAACAGCAGCACAGGTGATTATTACTAATGTGTCGAAGACTTCCATAAAACCTGAAATTATTTTTTTGCTCACACCAGTATGGTTTTTGACATATGTTTGCGTTCTATATATCAAAATCTGGTTGGTTTGATGTCTTTGCCTGTACTATTGCTAAAGCAAACCATTTAAATGGGAAGAATAAGAGGTGTGAAATATTTTTTAGTTTTTATTATAAGATAATAAATTTAAGAAAGTGAAAGACTACTCTTCATTAGTAGAGGCTTTATGAAGTTCAAGAGATTGTTCAGTAATTATAACTCATTCTAATGAACTAGATTTGAAATTAACAAATACTAAGATAATTATTACTTACAGCATTTTTTCTCTTAAGAATTCATCCAGATATCTTCTAAATTTAATTAAAAACTTCATGTGTGAGAGCTAACAGAGGTCATGGTTACAATGAGTCAGAGAAATGAGTCTAAGGATGCTCAACTAAGAAAGAAAAATAGAAGTTTGTAATGCTTTCAAAATATATTATTGAGTGCAATTCCTTTGTAGCAAAGGCCTCTCACAAGGAATTTATGTAAAATTCCTGATGAGCTAGTAGTGCTTTTAAATTGATATTTTCTTTTAGTTTTTCAGCCATTGTTGAAGAGTGCTAGAAGCATTCTAAAACATTTTTTCACTTTGAATTGTATTTATTTTTCACTGAACTATTGATCATTGCACTTACAACTGGTATTCATTTACACAGATCTAAACCCCCAAATGTGATAGCAGTCTGCAAGGCTCTCCTAAGAAAAAGGGTAGAGTCAACACTTTTCAAAAATGCTTGTGTTAGTAAATTGGCCTTGTACAATTGCACAGAGTGATGGACAATAGTTTTATTTCAGCATGCCCAGCTAAAGTGTTTAACTAGTGAAACAAATAAATGCTAGTTTGTACACTTAGACCAGGAGCCATATTGCCACTGCAACACACACATGTGGTCTTTTCCTTGTAATTTTGGTCAGAGATTAAAATTTCTGCAGGATTCATGGAAGAGAGGGACATTGATTAATTCTGACTATGAATCAATTTGGATTCTCTTCTTAGGAAAGAAAACGAAGTTTGTGGTTTTTTTTTATTTTAAAAATATTAACATAGTCTCTACAAGAGTAGTTAAAAATATCCTACCATTATGAACCAAACATGGCTTTCTAAAGCCTGTAGCCTGGTTTGTTTGCAGCAATACTTCATTACTCTATTCTGGAGTAACTCAAAAATGAAATTATTTTAAAAATTAAGACCAATATCAAGAAACAGAGGGTCCAGCTCACTCTAACATGAGCCTTTGCTGTAGTTTATTATTAATGCATGCAGTAAAATTCTCGAATAGAAGTTTGTTTTCCAATTCCAGTGTTCCACAGGACAGTGTGTGCAATAGTATTGCTAGAACGAATACAGAGTTCCCAGATAACTGCCCTATGCAATACTGCAGTAAGATTTTTAAGCAATTGCTCTAGGAAAATAGATTTTCTTGCCTTTCTTCTCTTCACAGGTATGAGGGCACTTATTTTTTACAATATATCTTCTTTTTTTTTTTTTTTTTTTAGCCTACACATGGGCAAAATTTGATGATTTATATAGCCAATACATGAAATGGCAGAATGTTTTACATTTAACTGCTGTGTTTAAGGTATTTACTCATGAAGTATCACTCCTATCTACTGAAGTAGACAATTAGAACTGCTGCTTTTGTTTCTTTTCCATTTCTTTTTTTCTCCCCTATTCCCTTAATATGTTTATTAACATTGTAAATTTGAATTCTATTTCCTCTAAGTAAAAACTACTTGTATACAATAATCTGCTTTTTTCAGTATGAGAATTTGTATATAACTCCTCTTTAATCACTAAAAGAGACTTTATTTTTGCATAATTGTAGAAAAATATTCTGGTTTATGATGCTTATCTCAAGAGTAGAAAAGAAATATGTATTTTCCATGGTTTAGAAATAATAAAAAGAACCAACAATAGCTAATGCACTCTGCAATTTTTCTCTTTTTGCCTTAGGCCTTAAAGAACACACTTCAACTACAGTTGTTTAACACCTGTGTTAAACCCTTAGATTTTCACAGGGTCTCTGAAAACCTTTGTAAGACCTATCCATGCAGACCATTTTTTTCCTCCAATTTTATTTCTAAGTACTTATTACAAAACTTTTTTCCCTTCCTCTTAGTGATTTCCCAATCATAATAAAGGAGGAGATTATTTAGGGATAAGAGATTGTGTCAGGTCTGAAATTGAATCACTGACTGGCCTTTGCCATATTATTTTCCTGACATTTGTGAGTTAAACATGCCAGTAGAATTAACTTTCAAATCCTTTCCCCTTCTGAGTGAATTTAGTTTTGTGCATGAAGTCTGTAAGCGTACAAAACTTTATCACAATATACTCTTGTGCATTCAGGAGGACGAATGGAAGAGAAAATTAAATATTTTTTTTAGCTATTGTTTGCCTTTATCACTGATGGAAGAGACCCATTTAAAAATTTTCTGAAGTGTCTAATCAAAGAGCTGAATTAATGAACAACTATCAAGCTACACTTTAAAACATTTTACTAGTAAAGTATATGATACTTTGTAAAAGAAACTATCAATGAGATGGAGCATTATGAAATCTGAAAACATAAATAATTTTATTGTCCGAACTGTATGCCATATCTATTGGAAAAAAAAAAGGATTTGCATAGTAATAAATGGCTTTTTTAGCATAATTGAATTATTATAGTGTACTCATTGTATTCAGGAAATCATATATTTACCAACTAGGACAGTTTTGCATTTTTGTTTTGAATGGTTTAGGAATTCAGTCTTGAATAATGTGTTATATGGAACTGTTCTGGAAAAAATGAAGCTCAGTCTTTTTCTTTTCTGCAAATAGGCTATTATTTTTTCAGCTTTCAATGAAAGTACTTGTAGAATTCCATTAGAATATAGTACTGGAATGCTCATCCTTTTAGCTGCCAAAAAATATGCTCAATGAAAGTACATGTAGAATTCCATTAGAATATAGTACTGGAATGCTCATCCTTTTAGCTGCCAAAATCCGTTTGAAAAAGGATTAGTCAGATTTTGTGACTTACAAATAAAGTAATTATTATTTTTATTTGATTAATATAGTCAAAGTTAATATAATGCACTTTTGAGGATTCCTTATTCATCTAATATTTCATGGCCTCCAGGTTATTGATTAGGTCGTCCTTTTAACATACTCACCCTCCCCTCCAGCCAAAACAAGCCTCCCCAAACCCAATATTTTTCATTTTGATTTGTGAATATCCCTGATTAGTGCTGTTGCACAGTCCAGCTTAATCTCCTGGTGAAGATGCTTTTCTGTCTCCAGTTGAATTTTTTTTCGTTTTGGAGCGTGCTCCTTCTGCCTTCTGCTCTGAGGGCATATCTTCCAGACAGTGAAAAGCAATGAGCAGCTGGAGGCAACAAGCTAGATCAAAAGTCTGTTTCTGTAGATGGACAGATTTGTTTATTCAAAACTAAATAAGAGGTATCACTATTCATAGTCCCATCTGTAAATACTTTATCCTGGTAATAATTCAGTGTGCATGACAATTGCTGTCTGTGGTTAAAGCACAACAACATCACTGCATGAATGATTGCAGAATAACAGGTCCCATCTGAAAAAAGCAGAAGTGTGTGGTAGAAGGCAGACTGGCATTGTGAAAATGACAGCTACTTGGGGAACTAAATACAGGAATTTTGCATCCTCTGCACCTCAGCTTTAGTACTAATCTGTAGTTTGTCATTTTGTAATACTGGGACATGCTGCAGCAATATGATTTTCTGTAGAGGATGGCATCAATGTCATTTTTCTTCATCACTTGGTGTTCTCTTAAAGGTTTTTTCTAAGTTTATCCTGTTTAGCTTGTGGCAGCTGAATAAATCCTACCCCCAGGACAGAATAATTGCAGGAATCTGAGGCCAGTTCAGATACAACAGTATATTTTTGATGAAGAAAAACAGTCTTAAACTTTTTCATTACATGACTGCAAGATATGAATGTTCACTGGTATTTACCTGACATAAAATATGATGGTTCAAAATTTTGTTACTACAGAAGTGAAGTTAATAACCTGTTATTTATATTTAACTGAAAAGTCTCTTCCTTTCTTTTGTTGTGATTTCTGACAAAACAATGTAGTAAACAGTTGATAATGCAACCAGATCATACAAAAATTTTTATATATTTTGACTTGAGTAACACTTTTGAAGTCCAATGGAATTCATTGCAGGCAGTTTAAGCTAATGCTGAGTTGTATGCAAGGTCAAATTCCATACCCAGAAGTATGTGAATTTTTCCTAACAAAACATTGTTGGGTTTGGGGGGTTTTGTTTATGTTTTGGATTTTGGGTTTTTGGGGAGTTGTTTGTTTGTTTTTAAAATCTTTTAAACTAACCATTTTTTCCATTTCTGCTTAGAACCATTGGATACAAAAAGAAGTATGTGAAAGTTCCACACGGTCATATTTGGGTGGAAGGGGATCACCATGGGCACAGCTTTGACAGCAACGCTTTTGGTCCTGTAAGTCAATTCTCTGCATGTCACACTTTGCAACTGAAAAACTGTGCATATGTGAAACACAGTGAGTATGAAATTGATTGTGAGTGTAGTTTTGTTATTTTTGTGAGAATTATTAAACTTTATAAAATATCTTGGTCAGCAGATATTGAGTTTTTTCTTAGCTATTATAAAAAGAATAAGGACTTCTTTCAATTCCCCACATGGAAGGGGATGTGGTAGAAATTTTAAATTTGGAGGAATATGCTGGAGTTGTTGCCAGAGGGTGAGCCAGCTCCCTGTAGCTGACAGATGCTCCCTGAGGACATTTTGCCAGCTGATACAATTTGGAATGATTCCCTCCTGGGAACTTTGTCCTGCTTTAGTGCCAGTGCTGGGATAAAGAATTGGGGAACTGTAACCATGCTTAACAAGCATTAACTGGTAAATTGGTCAGTGGACAATAGTAGAGATATTTAAAACTTTTCCCAAAGTAAATATTAAAATTTTCTTAGCATATTGAAGGAAAAGAAAATGTAATCCATAAAATCTGTTTCTTGATGGGTAAAAGTGTGCATCTTTTTGTCAGGAGGACAGTCAATTCTTTCTCTGAACTCTAGTTTGGGTTTGGTTTTGGCTTTGTTATGCTTTGTATAGATTCTTGTTCTTGTTTTAACTTAATCTAGCATGCGGGAAATTGTTGCAGCAACTTTGTATCCTGCTGTGGAAATACAAACTCTTTTAGCCCTATTCCACATGCAGGATTTTTCTCTCTCTTTAAGAGAGAATATTCCTCTAATGTTATTTAAAAACCCACTTTTTGTTATAGGGAAGCTCTCAAGACTGGATTTTTCCACCCTTATGCATTTCACATCTATTTCATACAGAAGTCATACTACTAATTACTTGAATTAATGACAAGAAGGACCTTATGAGTTTATCTGGCTTCTTGAAGTTTAGCCCAATTATTAAATTGAAATAATTGTTCTCAAGAAATAATACAAAATAGGCCCACTGTCTGATTTGGACTATGTAATGGTGATGCCTTCTTTTAGTTTGTCTCACATTTTGTGTGCTTGTATTTCCTGCTGTTTTTCATTATTATTTTCCTTCTACTATCTTCCAAAATCTCTAACATCTAGTTTTGGAGGTTCTTTCCAACAGAATTAAGTCAGTCTATCCTGTGCAGGTATCTCTTTCCTCCCTTAGTAAGCTTTTCTCTGTCACTCTCTGTTCCCAACATAAATCTTAGTCATAAAGCCACTAATCTTCTTTTCACTTACAAATATATTGCCAATGTAGGCTCAGAGCATAAAGAACCTTTAGCAGTTGGACATTGGTTTCAGATTTACAGCAGCTCACACAGAAATTCACACAAGGTAAAATCCTCAAGGTAGCCACAATGCAGCTCTCATGCAAGATAGAATGCTGGGGTAAATCTAAATACCCTCAGATTTTTGCTCCATTCACTGATGTTTATAAATATTAGTAAATCCCCTTCACTAGTCTTTGACCTCACATTAATCATCAATTGTTAGCTAACATCAGATAGTATATCACTTTTCTTAGAGCAATGGCACTTTTGAGAGCTAGCAGGACAGGTTTTGACAGTGAATTCTTTATCTTTCTTCAGGAAGAATGACCTTTGTATTGCTTTGATGAATACATTATGGGCAAGTCAGCTGTAAATAGGTATTTTCCTCTCAAATTAAATTAGAACAGCAATCGTTGAATGCAAGCAGAAGGAACAGAAGAGATCACAGGGTTTGAAACTAGCTCCAGAATGCTAAAATATAGAATTTTTCTGTCTGTAAAAGAAAGTGGAAAGTGCCTTTAGAAGGACACACTGCACTCTAAGTTCTTTTCATCCTACACATGTAAGATTTTAGGTTACTGGGACATTTTTACTGCTCTTCTGTACTCTGGAGATTATTTGCACAAGTGAATTAAAATATTAAAATCACTCTTTCAAGCCATTCAGAAGGTATGTACTTTTTGAAACCAAAAATTCTCTCCTAAGACTGCAGCAGTGGTAAGGAACAGACATGGTAAGACATGGAAATGTTTTTCTCTCTTTGTTAGTATGAAGGTCACTTAAGATATGGGGTTAAATGTGTGTCACATTAGGACATGTATGTCACAATTCTGACTTTCAAAATGATGTTTTCTTAAATCAAAAGATGCACTAGAAATAGCAGGGGGCTTAAGTGGACTGTGTTGTAGGCTACCATTTCCTCTACTTTCATGGGATTGTATAGTAGGAAGTGCAGATAGACTCAGTAATTTATATATTTATAGTGCAGATAGACTCAGTAATGTTTTGTAGATGAACTTAATGAATTACATGGGGCATAAGAGGAAATTATAGAAAAACAGATTGAGAACAGATGTCAGAATAATTTTTTTCTCTTAGAGAATAACTCTGTGTAATGGATGCTAATGGGTTAGGTTGATAAAGCATAAACCCTGATACCAATCAAGTTCTAAATTAGATGCACCTTCGGAGAGATAGGAATTTCTAAACTGCAAAACTTGGCCTGATTAAACTGTGTTTATTTAGTTCATAAAAATGTTATAAAATAAATAATATCTTGTTATTGCATGGCTTTACAAGGCAAAAATAGGATTTTTAAAGAATAGACACATATTTTCCTGAAGTGTGTAAATAGAATGAAAGTGTTTAAACTAAGATTTTAAAGGTTTACTATTTTCTTTCTTAATTTTGTCTTTGAATAAAATGAATCCCTTAACTCATAGTAGAAAAATAACAGGGTATCTATGGTTAGTGCATAATTAGAAATGCTATTAGCTTTGTATGTGATCAAAACTTAGATATTCATTACCTTTTCTTAATATGGAACTAAATTAATTAATTAATGGCTATTGTACATTGTCTTTAAAAAAATGCTTTGTGTAATACTGAATAGCAGGTGATACAGAATACTATTGCTGTAATACTGATGTGTTTCAGGTTTGGAAATCTGCCAGCCATTCTTAACAGTGAAAATAGCTGTTTTGAATAGAAGCCAATAAACATCTAGAGAACTTGCATATTTTTACTATAATTTAAGGGGTAAAAAATTAGATATCATTGGATTTTTTTTCAGTTACTTGGACTAGGATAGAGATTTCTCTTAAATTGACTGTTGCTGTTTCTAAATTCTGAGTGAAGTTTTATAATATTAGGGTACCATTCCTTACTTGGCATACTACAGAAATGTGACAATGAATATCTAATATAATAAAGGTACCACTTATTAAAGTTTCTTTTTTTTGTTTTCGATTCTAGTAGTTTTACTATTTGATGGACCTTTTTACTATGGGTTGTAGTTCAACAGCATAGGAAATATAGAAGTAATGCTCCTGGCAATGGTTTTACTTTCTTAGATCAGAAATGCAGGAGATATTATAAAAAACTGATGAAGTATTAGAATCCTCTGCTGCTTCAAATTCCTAAACAATTTTAAAGGGTTAACTTTATGCCAGATCAGGTATTGTCTTTGCTTGCATAGTCAGGATAATATCAGCATAAAAGCAAAGTCACAATTTATATTCTGTGTCCAATATTCTGGCTAACTCAAGGGAAAAGTCATTATAAACTGTACTTTGTGTAGATTAAATGTTTAGATCTGGCAGCCAGCAGTGCAGAGATGGTTATCCAAACAATATGTGAGGGTATCTAAGAAACAGTTATTAATAAGTGCATGGAATAACTGATATATTCCTGGATGTACACATGTGCAATGAGAATCTCTCTCATAATTTTTAAAGTAAAACAGGCTAATTTTATCCTATAATGCTCTTATTTATACATTTACATGTTTCCAAATGCCTCCAACCTGGGGATATGAAGGACCTTTATAAAATTAGGGCTTGCAATCAATGGCAGTCTTTCAGCTGTCATGTATAAGACCTGAACAAAAGCTCATTAAAGTCAATGAGAGCTTTCTATTGCTTTTAATGGCTTTGGAGAAAGTTCTTTCTAAATTAACCTGTACAATCCAGTGTAAGGGCAAAAAAAGCTATTATCCTCCTTATCTTCCTTGGAAACTTGTGACACAGGTAGGTTCGGTACCCTGTCAAAAGTATCTTTTTTTTGCCTATCCAGGTCCCTATCTCAGCTCTTTTCCTAAAAATACATCTTTAATGTGTTTATTTTCAAAACTTGTTGAACCTGAGCCTAAATTTTTTGTTTGACAGAAGTTTTGCATTTATAAGCTTCAAATAAGTAAATTGCTTGTAGTTAGCATTACTGTAGAGGCCAATTTTTATGATTGCCTATTCTGTACTGTACATTCATGGAATAAAATATCTGAAAACCCTTTCTATCTGTTTAACCACATTTTCATTTAAAAGCACAAACCTGTAGGCTGTGGCTAGGAAACTATAAACTAGGATGACACTAAACAGAATATGCTGGGTTTATTAGGTATTTTGATTTGATTTTCAAAGGCAATCATCATCCCTTTCAGCTATGAGATAGGAATGGTTTAACTGTTAACCCTCAACAGGCAAATTAAATTACTTACAGTAGCAGAATGTAGCCTCTTATGATTGTTTTAGGCTGATCTAGTCTTTCTCTCTGTAATTACTGTTAGTGAATACATGTAGTCAAAAGCACAAAATAAGTAAATTACATTAGAGAGTAAGTTGGATGGAAATATGACACTTCTAGTGGAATGCAGAGGTTACTACTGGTAAAGGAAATATTTAAACCAAGATGTCTGCAGCCAGTGAGAGTACCTCTGCTTCATTCGATCTGTCATCTTCTGAGGGAGGTTCAGTGGACAATTGAAGGAGGAAGCAGATCTCTGTCTGCAGCTTTGAATTACTTACATAACAGCAAAGAAACAATGCCTCATTTCCTAAGAGGGCACATCATCTTGGTGATGATCTTGCCATCTGGAGAAACTTTCATATGTGAGCTGTAAACTAGTGCAAGGATTACATATCTCCCTGAAATGGAGCAGCCTCTAAGACAAGAGGTGGGAAGAGTTTAACAGCTCCCAGCAGTGCACTGAGCA